GCGAATGAGTGAATAGCAACCGACCGCGTATCGGGTCAACGCAAAAGTGGAAAAACGCGAGGAAGCTGAATACACTGCACGCCGCGACATTGCATGGACCGCCCCCTTCGCGCGAGGAACCGATTGGTGGCGTCTGTGTTCGTTCGAGTTCCATTCCAGTGTACCGTCGAGCTCAAAACGCAGTGGAGCCCGATGATGAAGCCGATTCCCCGGGCAACTTACTCGTGGCCAAACGGTCCGAAGCGCCGAACCGATCTCCTTCCGCGGCGCGGTGGTAAAAACCTCTGGCAGTAATGACGGCCCGCCCGCCTCTCGTTATGGCCGCCAGAGTGCGCGCGGGGCGGGGGTGGGCGGACAGGGGTAGCAGCAAGGCAGCAAACGTCGCGGTGCTGCGCCGAGGCTCGGACGGGCAGTGCCATCTGGCGGCGGGCGGCGAAAGCTCGACGGGAGGGAAGGGCCCGACCCGCCCGCATGGCACGCGGGGTATCGCCAGTCCTCCCGGCTGGCTGGAGACTGCGGTCCGGGGTATTCGCGCGCCCAGGGAGTTCCCCGACCCCGACACTGTTCCGTGTTTAGATGGACGCAGTGTGGGTTCAAAGCGCATCAAGGGTTCAAGCTACGCCTTTCCGACGCATGGCCTCATTCGCTGATTGCTCAGACATCGATCCGCGGCGGTCCACCTGGCGCTGGACGGAGTGGATGGGCGCAACCCGACACCGGAAGTCACACACGCCCGCACGAGGGCGGCGCGTACAGTGGCGGCGACGCAGGCCAAACACAGATCGAGCCGTTTTTGTGGAATTGTTTGTGTTTCTTGAGCGGGCCCAGCGCCGCCCCGGCACGCCCCACGGCTTTGGCTGCCGCCCTGTACCGCCCTGCGGCCGCGAAGGGATCCTCTCTGGAAAATGGGAGTCCGAAAACAGGGCCGCCCCGCCCGGGACTCGAACCCACCGCTTTCCACAGCGCCATTTCAGTGCGCCGAAGCTCAGTGATCCCGAAGGCAACGCACGACACACTCGGCGCGTCTCCGGCCCGGCCACTCCGGAACGTGGCACCTGTTTCTGTCGCACTCCTGGGGCGTCCCGTGGCGGGAGAGAGAGACAGAGCGACGAAACGACCGTTCGGGATCAGTCTGCTGCTTGTCATCGACGCCACAGAGCGGAGAGCCTCTCAACGTCCGTCACCACGCCCTACAGGGCCTGCAGGGCCTGCAGGGCCATCGGGGCCGCGAGGACGTCGAGTGGAGCGCCAAGCCGCTGCGGCCGCTGCACTGCAAGTCATCAGCGACGGGGATAATGCGCTTCAAGTCCGTGGAACGGAGCGCGCAAACACAAGGCCCACAAGCCGCGCGCCGCTCTGTCTCTCTCGCACTCGCGGGGCGTGCCGCGGTGCCGCGGGGGTGCGAGAGAGACAGAGCGCGGGGCCGCGGCGCACATGGGCGGCATGGCGCAGAGTGGAATATCAGCTGAGCCTCAGTCAAGCCCGACCGGCTCGGCTCGGCTCGCCGAAGGCTTGAAGCCTGAGGGGGGCAGCATGGCAGCATCCTCTAGTCTAAACACTCGGGCACGCGCTGGGCCCGCCACCATTGGCCACCTCGGCGACTCGAGCACTACACGCCGAAAAACCTACGAAAACAACAACACCAAACACTTCGGTCTCTCTTGCACCGTGGGGCGTCCCGCGGGGGTGCGAGAGAGACGGGCACCGCGCGTCTCACCTGTCCCGGGCTGGCGGGGCTGGCGGGGCTGGCGGGGCTGGCGTTGGGATCCTCGGAGGCAGGACTGGGATGGAGCGCGCCTGCTGCTGGCGCCCGGCGGACCTCCGGACACCGGCGAGCCTGCACGGCGGGCTGCCGTCATGGCCTGGGTCACGGCCTTGGTCATGGCGGGGGGCGGGGGATGCTCCTGGAAACGGGTGTGGTGGTCAGGAAGGGTGAGCAGAAAAAGTAGTAGGAGTCCCACAGGGATTGCAGGCGCCTGTAAGTCGTACACGGCGTACACGCGCACACGGAATCGCCGATCTACCTCTCTCTCTCTCTCACACACACACCTATACGCCCCAAGAAGACGAGAGAGACAGAGCGACGACAGCGATTATGACATTGTAAAAATCCTGCGGAGTACTTGCACAAGGAGGAACGAGGGCAAAACAAAACAACTCGCATGGCTGTGTTCTTTATTTTCGGCGAGGGCGTCATAGGGAAGCCCTTGCCTGGAGGCGACACGCCGGAAGTACATGCCGGGGAGGGGGGGGGGGGGGGGAGGCAAAGCCTGGCAAAGCCCCGGAAACAAAAGAAGCCCCGCAGTGATGCGACGGCCGACCGCGCCGTCGTCGCGTCCGCGCGTATCGCCGCGGATCTGTTGACGGCGCGGCGCGCGGGACTCGTTGATGTGGCCGACGCGTCGTGACCTGTCCCAAGCGCTCCAGTAAACAAAGGGCGTCGCGAGCCGCACGCCGACGAGGAGAACTCCCTATCGGAACGCCCTCGGAACGCCCGGAACAGGCTTGGCACAGCTTGGCAGCAACAGGCCGCAGATTTGATCCGCGCTGCATCCGATTCGCCAAAGGAAATGGCAGTGTCATGACCGACCGCGCAGACACGGCGGCGGCACACGCACCGCGCACTGCGCTGGCGTATTTTTAACGCCCCTTTGAGAGCCCCGCCCCGCCCCGCCCCGCCTGCAGGGGCGCGCGGTGCCGGCTCGGTCCACCGGAACAAGGAACACCAAGGAAAGCCGCGGGGAAACGGATGATGAACGGCATTCCTAACAAATCGGCCCGCCTTGGCCACCAGCAACAGTCTCGCGCTTGCGCAGGTCCGACTTCAAACCGTCGGAGCGTGTGAAAAAGTGGGATGAAGTGCAGGGGTATTTGCCAGTCTCGGCCCCCCTCCCGCACCTGCAGCACCTGAGCTGACATGGGACGCGGGGCCCTTCAGCAGACTGACTCCGTCTCTGTCGCACTCACGGGCCGTCCCAAGGGAGACAACGCAACGGATCGACTCTTGAGCTTTGCTTTCACACAAAAACAAAGGGGTGCGCAGCGCGCAGCCGGCCAGGGCCCCTGACAGTCATGATGGACTTCCGTAAGCCGATCGGCTCGGGACAACAACATTAAACACTGGACGTTGAGCCAGTTGAGCCCCGTCCTGTCCGGCTGACGCTGCTGACACACTTGGATTGCATTTAATGCGCGGACATGGAGTCGAGCTGCTCAGCTGCACCTGGGCTATGCTCGTGTGCGGCCCGTCTACACTACGAGACCGGTAGCCGCGCCGTCCGCGCCGTCCGCGCCCTGGGCGTACACAAAACCTGGCCGAGGTAAACAGTCTGTAAAGGCTAAGTAAGCAAAGCAGCCAGAAAGGATCTGGCAGGACTAGGCGGGACGGCCCTCAGTGCATCCAGGCATTCGGGCAGCCTGCGCGCCTCGCGCGTCCTGGACCACGAGTACTTCCTGCCCAGCGGATTAAAGAAAATGCCCTCTTACAATGCACAAAGTGTTGCCCGCGACATGTAGACGATTTCTGAAATAGATTCCGATATATCGTTCCGTCGCTCTGTCTCACTCGCACCCCTACGGAACGCCTCATGAGGTTTGCAAAACTTAGAAGCCGGTAAGGCCCGCAAAACACGACCACGCCGTCCAGTTGATAGCTCCGGCCTGCGCCGGAGACTTTTGGTAGTTAAAATAGCGCAGCAACTTTGCTGTTTAAGTGACTCACCGCCGTGGCCTTGGTTCGTTAAACCCTGCTTGGCCGGTTTGTCGGCACGGAACATCCTCACTTGAGGGCATAATTTCACTTTCACATTTCCCGACTGCAGGTCCTTCTCGCGCAAAAATCCCTCGCGACTCGAAACCACTGAAGGGAGTTGTCCGTGTCAGAGAGAAGAAACACAACGCATTGTCACCGAGGGGTAGCGGAGAGCGCGCGTAACGCCTACCGGCTAGACGAGTCTCAAGTCCGAACGGTACGCGAGGACGGCCTCCGTTCAAACTGACGGCTGCCGAACGACTGGCTGTGGTTGGGGCGGCTGGCTGGGCTGGTTGCTGCTAGTTGCTGCTTGCTGGTTGTTGTGCCCTGTCCTGCCGTGCCGTGCCCCTCCTGCAGCCCACGCCCCCGTTCCCCCGCCCGCGGCGCGTCAGCCCCTCCTACCCTCATCCCCACTCGCTCACACCCCAGACGCCCCAGACAACCGACAACCTATTGCCTAGCCTAGCCTAGCCTGTCACAGCGGATTGCCTAACACCAGGTTGGCTAGAATTAGATAGAGCCCTGCATGCCCTTCATATAATGTAGGGCTCTAGATAGAATGGGATAAGACATTCCCTGCCATCCCTCGAATCTTTCGAGAACCACGGTCGGGCATCGTCGAAGTAAGTAATCGGGTGCCTGTCATTTGCGTGGCACGATGACACAACACTGTATTTAACTCGTTTTGCTAGAAAACTGGAAAACATTTAAGGTGGGACGTGACATGTAGGGTAATAATAGAAAATTTCGCTGTGATGTGTTGCCTGAAATTTCTCATCTGTGCGTTTATTCCCTTCGTAGCCTCGCTGGTCCACGTGGAACTGAACTGGAAATGTCATCAGTAGCAAGCAGACGACTTGTCAAATACAGTGACTTGAAGTTAAACAACGAGAGTTTAGAAATTTTGACTGAGACTAGTTAGTTGTAGAAAGTAAGTATCAAGACAAGAATACAGTCTACCCATTCGTTCGTGTAGTACCGGCATGTGTTATTCTTAACACAGTTTTGAATGTTTTGTAAATTTGCAGTCTAGCTGGACAGTTTTGACTTTACTGCATCCCCCTAGGTTACCTCAAAAAGATCTAGTGTAATTTCAATGTTTCATTATTTCATGTCTTGGTGTTTCTAGTAAGGGTTATCTTGTTTTGTCAAGACCTTTATCGCTTATCGTTTATCATTGATTTTTGTAATAACTTGCTTGACAGTTCAGTTTTTTACTATCCCTAGCTAAATTAACGTATCGCAAAGAAATGCATGCTAAAGTCTCTTACTTTTCCCTATTTCATTTCATTGTTTCAGTGGAAAACTATCGGAAAGGGAAAAATGTCGAAGAAGAGATTACCAAGGAGAGAATACCCATTCCTGGTTTGCCTGATGATTTCATATGGATGCAGGTAAGAACCTTAAGTGTAAAACCTGGATATTTTTAAACATTATATCATACAATTTGCCTTCTTTAGCTGAAAATCAAATTTGTTTTGTGTGCATGAGAATAGCGGTAACATCAGCAAGATGAGCTTCTTTCAATTCAGACAGGTGTTTTGCGACCGCCTGTAATCCTTTCAAAAGATTTCTAAGAGATGAAAGTTGAACTAGTGCCCTTAAAGAAAGTACATTGGTTTGTTTTGTGAGAAATGCTGTTGTTTAGGTTGCCCTTGCACGACAGGCATGGTTCGGGTTCGGCCTTCGGTTCGGCTTCGGCCATCCTCGGATCGTTCGTCCCCCCACCTCCTAGTTTTTACTTCCCCCTCTCCCACTCGAGGCCCCGAGCGCAACCGGGGAAGCATAAGCAAGGCAGTCCTGCTGTTCCGTAGCACAGTGGCCTCTTGGTCTAGGGGTATGATTCCTGCTTTGGGTGCAGGAGGTCCCGGGTTCAAATCCCGGAGGGGCCCGTGTTTTATCTCTTTTTTTCTTCATCTTAAATGTATTTTATGGCTAGAAATGGTTTGCTGTCATTTTCATCTAATTGTCCGTATCATTAACCAGTTTTTCTCTGTTTTATTTTTTTGCAGGTGAATGGCGGAAGCAAAATTAGGAATCTTTTGGATGTTGCACTAAAGGGTTTTGTTGAGAAAGGAGTTATTGTATGGACTGGATCAGGAACTGCAATTAGTAAAACTATTAGTTGTGCCGAAATACTTAAACGTAAACACAAGGCACATCAAATTACCAAGATATGCTATAGGAAGTATGTTTTTCTTTCATTCTCATAGTAATTTGATCAAAATTTTAAAATACCATTATTTTTTTATTGGTTTTTCTTTGTTGTAAATTTCAGGTTTGAAGAATATTGGGAGCCATTATTGCCTGAATTAGATGAATTAGTAGTTGTGAGGGATGAGCCTATCATCCACATTTTGCTTTCCAAGAACTTGCTGAATACTCAGGAGCCAGGGTAAACAAAATAAGAAACAGAAAGTTATACTTTAAGGTTTACCTCTGATTTTGTTTGACGAGATCTGTGAAACATCATGTAATTTTGACCCCAGGTACCAAGCACCAGGAGCAATCGACCCGTCATTTAAAGTTCAATATGATAAACAAGCCTCTTCTTCAAGGAACCCAAATAACAAGAACCGAAATAAACCTTATACTTCAAAAGCTCCAGGCCAGAGGAGTCAACCTCTACAGTCACAGAAAAACTCTCAGACCCAAAGTCAGCAATGAATAGCAGTAAATAATAGTGGTTAAAAAGCTTTATTGGTTTATTTTTTCCCCCTGAATAAGTGTGTTCCTCTCCACCTAACAAATTCTTTGTGATTTTAGAATAGAGGTAAAATGATGATCACACTCAATTGGATTCCTAGAAAGTTTATATTCATACAGAAATCGGTACAAGTACAATAGAATTCAAATGCACTTGGGAGAAGTTACTTCGTTCTTTATATACACTAGAACAATTATCACTCATTTGGTCCAAATAAAAAAAAAGAAAAAGAAAAAATAAGGATGAAAGTCTACCCTCAATTAATAAATATAAGCAGAGCACAGTACCTTAAATTAATTACAGGTGTCTAGTTGAGGTACAATTGTTTGTACAAAATAATGAGTTATAAAACAGCGCTGGAAAAACGAAACAGAAATAGGATGGTACATATACAATGTTAAGATACAAAGCAGTGCTTTTACAATCATATAAAATAAATTAAACCACATCTAACAATAAATCAAGTCAACACTAGGATAAACAAGAAGGTTTATTAGCAAAGAAAATATTTGCCTTGCAATAAACAAACTTGTAATATTCTGTGTTTCAATGGCACCAAAGTAAAACGAATTGTGCACACAGTTTAAAGCATCTACCATGATGATCAGTGAAAGTAAATGCCCAAGTTGTGGCTTGAGACACTAGCTGAAGATGCGACACGCGATTACTGTCAAGACGATACATCCACTAGGAAAAAATATTGAAATTCACTCCTAATGGACATATTCACCAGAAAACATTGTGGTATTCTAACAAGTACATTATAGGTCTATGACGATGAAGTTACCACTGTAAATAAAACAGTCAACTGATTTCCCAGAGATCTCTGTACACAATTAAAAACATATTGTCTGAGGCAAACATCTTGACACAGCATTGAGCTTTAATATTTCCTGCGTTGCTACCATGTTATATTTGATTTGTTTCTTCAATATCTTTTCCCCCATACCCCTGGAACAGAATGATAAAGTCTTGGAACAGAAACCAGTATTAACTGGTTTACTCATAATTTACAAGAAAAAAAGTCAGTCTGTAGCAAGAACAGCAGCAACTACCAACATCAGAGAGCACAAATAATGGAAAATTCAAAAGAAACATGGACAACTTTAAATCAAGTGTCACAATGGAGCATGTGTTGTGTACAAGTCAATTCTAAAAACTACCTACCATTACCAGACAGAGTTCCATTCATAAAGCTATGATAGTTTAACAGTAACCTAATTAGCGCTTTACAAATCAGCCGCATGACAAGAGAAGTGGATTATTTCTATTTCTGTCTCAAAAAGGTAACATTTCATACATGTACAACCTTCAGAGAACAGCTAGGTATTATTTCTCACCAAACCTAAGACCAATAAATAAAATGCAAAAGAAGTGCCTTAAACCATTCCAAAGTCAAATCAACATTTTTGTGGCAGTAGGTTGCTTTTGCAGACATGACATTGGTACAGGGTTCTTCAATATAGCATTCTTTAAGAGGTTTCACTTTTCATCATGTTGATATGGTTAAGATGAAAGACAAAACATCAAAAAAGCTACAACACGACAACAAAATTAAATTTTGATGCACATATGAGTGAAAGCAAAAATAATCTTGAGAGGTCGTTGACAGAACAGTTGCAGTTCATTAAGCTTCAGATTCACCAGTCCCAGCTTCCTCTTCCAGAATAGGTACAATAAGATTGTCTTTGGACATCAAATTGTATTTGGTCACAAACACAGTGAACCTTCTGCACAAGAAAGTTTGATTCTGAAAATGAAAAATTACTATTAAATTTTATACAGTAAAAAGATAGCAAACTATATTTTATATAGAGCAGTACAGATAAATAGAATTTCAATGAATCTCAAACCAAACTTACTTCAAATTCATCAAATATAGTGCGATGATGGAAGTATGCATGTGAGAAAATTCTGTACACTCGCCTACAGACAGAGCCCAATTTTGAGACAGACGTTTCTTTGATGCTCACTCTGAAAAGGGTTCAAATTTTTAGATTAGCCAGTGCCAAATGGTTATGATGTCAATCATAAAGAAATTGAGAGGTGATCCACATGCCTGCTAGGAAAGTACTTATTGCTGTTTAAAAGACATGCAGCGCCATCTAAGGTATGCCTGGTATAGTCAATAGCAGCACATTCCTTTGGAGTCTTATGAGCAGCACATAAAAATATCCACTGCTCAGTGGCTGTCATCTGTGTGCAAGTTTCTGGGTGGCAATCTGCCTGAAGGCGGACTGCCAGGCCATTCAATTCCATACAGAACTGCCTGAAAATTACAAGACAAAACCACATAAGTACAGAAAATCTTTTAAAATTACACACATAAATATATTGCTATGACCCAAAGACAGATACCTCAAATGTTCATATTTCCATACACCTTCATCTTGTGCATCTGGAGGCGTCAGAATCTGTGCAATGTTGGACGGTTCTCGTCGTATTTGCTGCTGAATGTACTGCTGCACCGCAAGGGTGCTATCCATTTCTTCAAAAGGCTCATCAGGCCACCGGCTGAAATCCTGTACCAAAACACCAACTTTACTTGTAAGAAATCCAAAAACAAAATTGTTACAAACTAGAAAATGACAAATGACAAGATATGATAAATATAAACAATGAGCCCAGAAGGAGAGGTAACCCTAGTTCAAACTGAACCTTAACCAATAAGACGGGGAATTTTGTGCAGATTTAAACAAGGTAGTATCTCTCTGACGCAAGAAATCTCATGAAGTTGATAGGCTGTTCAAAACATCATTGAATGAAGTTGACTGTACCCTCAGCAAGGTTAGGAAATTTTAAACTTTGAAATGCATAAAAGTAATGTTATATTGTAAGACAACTCCGATAGTGAAGAAAAATTTAACAGTACAAGATGACACTGGTGGAGAATCTTAAGATAGAACAATGAAAAACGTTCATTAATTTCGATGTTGACAGGGAGAGTAGGCTAGCTGACAGGTTACACTTATGTGCTATGTAAGTGGCATCAACGTTCCGAGCAAGGTAAAATATTTTCAGCTTTCTGATAAAGCCATGAAATTTTTTGCTAAGGCGAAATCACAGTAATTACCTTTGCTTTGGTACCCGGTTTGTTTCTTCTCAAAATTGCTATACCGTCAGCCATCTTCATGTTAGCTTGACTGGGACATGGAGCAGCACTGCGAATGAATCCGGTTACTTAACAAAACTCTTCGGATTGGAACCAGGTATAGTGAAAAGAACCGGATGCTATACATTTGATATAATTTCGAGCGCTTGAAATCCAAATCTCTGTTTTTTGTCACTAAAGCTAAAAGAGAAAAATATGTTTTAGGGTTGGTGTGTTGGCACTCCAGCGAGGCGGACTTGTTTGAATTGAGTCGGCCAAAACTATTAGGGACCCTAAAAACTATGAGCCGCAAACGATTGATCCACTGTTAGCGTCAAAGTTGTGACAGGTTCTCTAGAAGTGAAGTGAGGACGAAGACAGAAGATAGAATAAACAAACTTTTTTGTCCGTAACATTTTATTTTAAAATGAAAATTTTGCGCAGAACAATAACTAGAAACTCAACAAAATTAAGTACTTGTGATTAGTGATAGGCAGCATTTATATCTAATAGTACAAGTAAATCAAGTCTCCCTAGCTTGGACAACAGCCTTGATGCTGCTTCTTCATATTGCACTTCTTAATTTGTACACATTTTATACTTAAGATTAGAAATATAAATAAAAGCTCAGTTAAAACTTGGTGTGGAACTCGGTAAAAAAAAAAAAAAAAAACAACTGGTGTCAATATGATTAATACAACAATCAATATACTTTTGAACAAATTTACCCTGGTAGCAAAGAAAATTTTACTTCCATTAAAACACAATTTGGTTGGCCCACAGCTCACTTAAGAGAAAGGGAATAGACATTTTATTAACAAACACAACACTTGTACCTAGTGTAATAGAAGTCTAATGCAACAGCAGTCTTAAGAGTATGTGAGTTTCATCTACAGTAAATATTGAATACCAAAATAAGTATTGTCTTGAAGTTAGTTAAAAGACACAACCTATGCACTTAAAAAACAGCAACAACATAAACTTTAAGTTCAGCAACCAAGTAAATTTAAATATGTTAATTACAGTACATGACACACACAACAAACAATGTCCTCTTACCCCTTAGTCAAAATCTTGACATTAAAATGAAACAGTACAAACACAAATCACCATCTAAAACTAATATGGAACTTGTCAATTCAACCCCTGAGGCTGCTTTGAATCGTTATCAAAAAACAGAAGAAAAATTATCGGAAAATACAAGGAAGGAAGTTGGAGGGAAGTCTGTGGCTTTTGTCAAACAAAATCTGAGCCATTTGTTCCTTTCTAAAACTAAAATGCAGTGCTAAATAATCTAAATCTCAAAAGAGACAAGTAAACAATAATGAGGCATGGTGTTTTTGGTACCGTCACAAATTGGACCCGTTAAACCAATAGCAGTAAACAAATTAAATAATAATAATAATAATATGGTGATGCAGTTATTTTGTAATTCAGTACAAATTGTTAACTCTTGAGAAGACCCTGGCTTTTAAGCAGATGCTCTCTAAAAAGCTGGTAATCATCAGCTAGGAGTTCCTGGGCACTCAACTTGGCTTGTGTCAATGCCTCTATGACTTCAACTTCATCTTTCATTTTCATTGTTTTGTACAGAACTCTCATTTGAGCAAGATCCAAGTTGACATAGTTGTTTGCGAATTCTATAAGTAGATCCAGCTCTCGGAGGAGGTCATCTGAAACTGCAGACGCTCGTGGTGGTGACAGACTCATTTGAAGATTCAGTCTGGAGTGGGAGCTGGAGGAAGAGCTGCACTCTCCCTGAGCAAACCTGCAATAAGATAAATTACTTCAGAAACTTAGAACACTCCTATGACAAACTTCTTTCAGAATTAAACTTTATCTTACCGTGGAAAGCTGAAGTGCGATTCTGAGGTAGGAGGTGGTGAATCGCCTTCTGGTTTTGTTGGCATTATTCTTACACAGCGCTCCCAGAACTCCACGGTGTTGAGACTTTCGTCAAAGCTGCGTGATTCCAAGTATCTCTTGAAATGTTGCCGACCATCCGTACTTGCCAGTACATTGGCTACACTGTCTGTCCAACGATCTAAATTTTCTCTTGTGATATTGTAGCCATCGCCACATTCAAAGCATGGCACACAACTCATTTTGAATATTTAAAGTAGGACATGCCCGGCTGCAAAACAAACAAACACAAAATTAAGCTGCTGATAAAATTTAGGACGGTGAATTCTTCCTGACACATCGCATCTTTTTCTGGAAAGTAAGTCAGTAACATGTATAAAGTAAGCTAACCTTACTAAACAGAATCATGCAAGGTTGCCTCAGTAGAATAGCAGTGCTTGCCTAAATTCAGAGACAAATTGAGTCTTCTGGTGGTCTAGTTTACATATTTATTACCAAGGCAAACACATGTTTTCGATTTTATGACATTTTGTGAACCGTCACAACACCAACACATAAACAAGGTCTGGAGCCGCCGAAAACAAAACACTGTCGCTCGGGAGCAGACGATGGCGATGGCAGACGACGTGCCGAAGCCGGAAGTGACCGCAGACGACCACTTTCCTGCCAGTGAAAAGCTTTTGATTTACGCGAAAAGTATCCATGTTACACGAATAAAACTAAGTCTTGGGAAATGTGTGCCTTTTTCAGATGAAGTAGGTGACAGTTGTCCCCTCTTATGACAACCGTGCCGTGTCATTCCGTTTTGGAGAGTTTTCTGGCACCTTCGTTACGAGTTTTCCAGCGTCTATGTGTAGGATTCTACCAGCTTCCAGAGGGAGCCTTAGACTTAATTAAACGGACTGGAATCGGTCCAGGTGTCGAAAAGGCACCAGAACCCCATCTCTTGGCAGCCAGCGATAGGCTAAAGTTTCAAAGTGATGGTTTTGCCGCCTGTCATCGCGATATGTCCTGACCTCGGCCTCGGAGAGAGAGAAGGGGGCTGCCCATGAGCCTGGCAAGTCTGGCGGCCTCTGGGACCTCGCAGTCCTCGCTGGAGTGTTCAATGGTTCCAGGGCCACGCGCCACGCGGCCGTGGCCGTTTTAACCAGCATTCTTCCACCCCCACCCCACCCCTGGGGGTGCGTGTGAGGAGCGTGAGCCTAGGCCAGGCGCTCTAGCACTCTCTAGCAGGCTCTGGGAGGCTCTCTAGCCAGCCAGCAGGCAGTGGCAAGCCGACCCCGCGGCCCCCACGCCCCCCACGCCCCCCACGCCCCCCACGGCCCCAACCCCCGCTCGCGGCCTTCCAGCCTGCCCTCGGCCCCTCGGCCTCGGCCTGCCTCGGCCTGCCTCGGCCCTCCCTGGCGGGGCTGCTCGGGCCGCTCCGCTAGCTCCGCTAGCTCGGAGCCGCTGCCGCCATCCACGCCTGCGCGGTCCGTCCCGTCCGCCCCTCCGCCCGCCCTGCCGCCCGCCTGCTTGCCCGACTGCCTGCCTGCCACGGGGTTCGGGATCGATTTTTCGCGTTCGCTCCGTGGCCGCCATCTTCGCCATCGCGCAGCCCAACGCAGGCAAGGCAGGCCAGCGCGCCGAGGCTCCGTTAGCTTTACTCGCTCCGCCGGCCGAGCAGGCAACCCGTGGTGCCCGTCGCGTTCCGTGAACAGAAACCAGAAAGTGTGCAGTGCAATGTCGCAGTGAGGTGCTTTGGATTTGGATTGCCCACCTCACCAGGGCAGCCCCAGGGCAGCTCAGCCCCTGTGGACTCAGGTGAGTGGGTGTTGCGGGGCGCAGGGCCGTGGCCCAGGCCGAGGCCCAGGCCGAGGCCCAGGCCGAGGCCAGCCAGGCCCTTCATGGCCGTGCTCGGGGCAAGCTCTGGGCATGATTCTAGGTCCTCTCATTCCTACCGCCCTTCGCAGGGACAGCCCGTGCTGTGTGGGTCACGACTGTCTCATTGATCATCGGAGCCCTTTGGTTAGAAACCCTTTCCCTCCAGAACCCGTGCCTCGGAGTGCGCGGAGTGCCCGCGAGCCTCGCTGCACCTTCGTCCTGGAGTGGTGCGTGTGCATGTCGAGACGGGGTGTCGGACAGCGCGGTCGAGAGGGTTATGTATCCGTGACCTTCCAATCAGCCCGCCCCGCGCCCGCCCGCGCTGCCCCAACCCCCGCCGTGCCCTACGCGGCGAAGCGCGAAGCCTCCACGAAGCCGTCGCACCACCGCGTGCCCCGCAGCCAGGGCGATGGGGCCAGGGTCCTCGCGCCCCTCGGCAAAGCTCCACTCAAACACTTACGGGCTCCTCGTCAGCCTTTTCAGCCCTCGTCAGCATGGCGCCCTCAGCCACCCCCACCAGCCCCCACCCTACAGGCCCACAGCCAGACTAGCCCCCTGAAGTCCAGCCCCAACTGGAGCAGCAGCACCAATGAGCTTCGTCGATAGTTTGGCTCTAGCCACTGTTATCAACAGCTCGGTCCTTCGACCCCCGCCACACAGTACCGAACGGGTATACAGATCAGCCTCTCCCAAACGGGCAGCACAACGTGACACGTTTGACGTTTGGTTCTCGCGCCCGCTTGGCGGCCTGCAGCGCCAGCTGCGACTGGCGGGAGGGCAGGGCTGGGCAGGACGGCACTGGGTTCCGGACAGCGACAACAAGGCTCCCTGCCAGGCCGAGCAGCCACTTTTGCAGCCGTTGTCAAACTTTGGCTGGGAAGCCAAGGGGCGGCCGAGGCCTGCAGCGAGTCCCGACCGTCGAGCGCTAGTTATGGGGCGTGCCACGTGGGTACGCCCCGTGGAACGCCCCGCGGTACGCCCCGTGGAACGCCCCGCGGTACGCCCCGTGGAACGCCCCGCGGTACGCCCCGCCGTACGCAGCGTCTGGAGACGAGCTCCTCGCTGCGCGCGCATAACCTCACTCGGTGTTTGTCCCACTTTGGGCCCTTGGGCCCTCGGGCGCTTGGGCCCCACGTGGGGCGGTGGGGCAGGGCGCGGCAGGGCGCGGCAGAGCGGCGCGGCGAGGCCTAACCGTTGGAACGCCTCGCCACGCCACTGTCGCGGAAATGCAGCCCATCCCAAGGAATCGATCGTGGAGCAGATCCGACCTCGCCACGCTGCGCCCTGTGGCTGCGCCACGCCACGCCTGACCAACCGACTGGTGTCGGGTCTGGCGTGGTCTGGTCGCCGTCGTCGCCGTCGCGAGAGAGGCACCGACGCACAGTGGGCCAGAAGCCGGTGGAGGCGGCCAAAACTCTAGACGCGTTTTGAGCTCCAGAGTCGCTGAACAGGCCTCGAACCGAACGTGTGACCCCACCAATGGATTCCTCGTTCTGAGAGCAATCCATTGGTGGGGTCACACGTTCGGTTCGAGTCCCATTTAGCGACTCTGGAGCTAAAAACGCGTCTAGAGTTTTGGCCGCCTCCACCGGTCTCTGGCCCACTGTGCGACGCCGCCGTCTGTGTGCATGTTGTTTGGACTTGACGCCCCCCTTCCCCCTCACACAGACGCACGTACCGCGGCCCGCCCCTCCCCCTTTCCCCTCGGTTCCCTTTTTCAATCAAGAAGGCCCCCGAGGCACGCACCCGAAATCCGCATGCAAGGGGGCCTGGCCCTTGGCCCGTCCAGTAGGCCGGTCCCACGAGACAGTTTTCCGGCGACGCTGCGTAGCGGGCGTAGCGCCGTGCAGACAGGCACTCCGCACGCACGCGCGCCCGACGGGCCGGCCTGCCACATTACCATTGCCATTGGAGGCCAGACCACACCGCGTCGGGCGGCGCGCCGTGGAGGTGGGCAGCCCATCGTGCGGGCACTGCCGGGCAGCTTGCGGGCAGCGCGCCCCCGCGGCCGCTCTCGTGTTCGTCTCTCTGTCACACTCGCTGAACGCCCCGTGGGGGCGAGGGTGTGAGAGAGACGGCGTGCTGAATGGGCTGGCCGACAAAAGGACCACGTCGAGGGACCCCGGGACTCCCCCACGCGGCGCCCTTCCGTCTGGGAAGTGACGTCACCGGGACAGCCGCGCTGCCTAGCGCTGCCGCCACTGGGGACACACTGGGGACGCTGCAGTGTCGCTGCAGCATATAACGGGCCGGGAAGAAAACACAGGTCTCTCTCGCACCCCCACGGAACGCCCCAAGAGTGCGAGAGAGACCGAGTGACGAAGGCTTAAGGCGAATGCCAGCAGTGTTCCTTGTTGCTCCGCGTCACTCTTTGTTTTAAACTTGGAAAGCACGACTTCGCTGGCGACGGCTACACTGTACGCCGACCAACTTTGTGGCCGCGGTGTGAATAATTGAGTGTGGAGGCAGGCAGGCAAAGTGTGTGTCTAGCAGGGTGGATACTGCCTGCCCTTCGCACCGCATGGCCACGTTGCCACGTTCTTTGTCTTGGTGGCCGTTCTGCCGTCTTTTCGAAGGTCAAGTCGAAAGTGCCAAGTCAGAACTATAGTCAACCAACGTCTCCCAAACGAGCGATGGTATGCGTAATACTGGACGACTTACTTCTTGTTTAAATTTGTCAACACAATTTGTAACGCACGCCGTCTGCGAGACATGGAAGCAGAGCGGTCGTCAGAATCGTGAAATTGGTGAGAACAGGAATGGGCGAGTCGCTTATAGACGGCCCCCAATACGTACCCCCGGGCGTTGGCAGCGCCAGAGAGAATGAGGACGAAGCACGACTGCGGGGCGGGCCTGGGGAGGGCCCGTTGACAGAGCAATCCCCCGCGGTGGCGCGGTGGCAGGACAGGACCATCTGTATAAAGTGTAATAAGGGCAGGATTCGATTCCATTCATGGCTTGTCAAGTCAAACCAGTCGAACCGGCGTGGCCGCGAGGGCAGAGCATGGCTGGGGCGGTGGCGCGCTCAATCGAAGGGCGACTCGCCGGAAACTTGGGCAGTGTTTGGGATTACAAGAAAAAAGGGCAACTTCCTCTTTTTTAGAAAAAGTTTGTATGCGGAATTTTGCAGCCTAAAAGTTCAGAAGCTCAAAGGTTCCTCGAACTCGCTCGAACTAGCTCAAAATGAACACCCGAACCGTTAAAAATATCATTCCACCTTACACAATATTTACCGAATCGATCTAGGATGTAGGTCCTGCAGACGAAATGGGAGTTGTTATTATGAGCAGGGTGGATGAAACTCCGCACCCGCTCCGGGGAGCCGCGACGCCGCGAGGTATCGCAAGGTATGGTATCGCGCGCGGGGCGTGGCGGGGCGTGGCGCAGCGAGGCTGGAAATAATCCCTCCTGGAAATAATGCACGCCGTCGCGGCGGCTCTGGGGCTATTCCCGGACAAGCCGTCAGCACCGGGCTATAGCCTAGCCAGTCACCCGACGACACCCCGTCTCTCTCGCACTCCGACGAGCCGCCCCGGGAGTGCGAGAGAGACAGAGCGACGAGTCGGCGACGAGAGCACCGTGCGAGCGAGCCTGCAAGGTGTGTGTCCGAGTGGCGGTGGCAGGGCAGAAGGGCCCTGACCCCCGCCAACAACAAGCACCCCGACAAGCGGCAGGCCGACGGGGCACTACTGCGTCTCTCTCGCACTCATGGCGCGAGGGAGACAGCGGCGTCGCGTGCCGCGGCCGCTTGACACGACATGCCGAACCCTCCGAGTTGAGCGAGTTGGACCCCTCCGCGGCCCCGCCGCGTCTCCCCGCCGCGGAGTCTGTTTGCTTGCTCTCGCTTTCCATATTGGCTGTGGCCCCGCCGCCCCGCCGGGACGCCCGGGAGGTAGGCCATGGTATGGTGAGCCTGCGAGCCACGCGTGGCGAGGGCGGCTTGTAAGCCGGGGCTCTGGCGAGCCGCTCACTTGCCCCCACTCGAGGGGGTAACGACTTCGGGAATCCGGCTGACAGCAAATTGGTAATCCGTAATCCGGATAACCCGAATTTTTGAGGTAATCCGGGGTAATCCGGGAAAATTTTGAGGTAATCCGGGGTAATCCAGGAATTTTTTTGTTGTAATCCGGAGGTAATTTGGGGGTAATCCGGGGTAATCCGAGGTAATCCTTAATCCGGCTGACACGAAATTTACCAGTCGTTACCCCCTCGCCCCACTCCACCCCTCACGCTTGCGCGAGAGTCGCTTTCGTCGCTCTGCCTCTCTCGCACTCATGGGGGGTTCCGTAGGAGTGCGAGAGAGGCAGAGTGACGAAGCAGCGGTCGGAATCAGTCGGCTGGTTCGCCCCTCCACATTGTCACATGTGCCGCGCGGGGCGGCGCGGGGCGGCGCGGCCAGTGCCATTCATTAGAAGTCGCAGCCAGCCCCGCGGCCCCACGCTGCTGGCCGGCGCGGCGCGGCGCGGCCCGGGGGCACGGGGCCTTGCGGGACCCCTCCCGAGTCGGCTTTGAATCGATAGCCAAGGGGCTGTGGACTGTGGCTGTGGGCGCAGACCCGGCGGCTTGCTCGGCGCGGCTGAGCCCGGCCCGGCTTTGCCTCCGCTTGGCTCCGCTTGCCTCCGCTTGGCTCAACCCCTCTCGCCGCTACGCTTCGCCGCTTCGCCGCTTCGCTCTTGGCCCCGCTGCCCGCCATGGATTGCAGGCTCATTCCGAGACGGCTTTCGTGCTCTGTCTCTCTGGCACTCATCCGGGCGCGCCGAAGGGGTGCGAGAGAAACATCGACGAAACGACTCTTTTGGAATCGCACTCAACTTCGCCCGCCAAAGTTGGTCAATTTCGCTCCCCTTCCAAACGAGATTATTTCTTTTTGGCCCGTCCCGTTTATTTTTTGTAAAAAAATGACGGAGGGACGGGCATATAGTATGATCCTTGCTGTGCGT